TTTTTTGCAGAGACAAGGTTTTGCTATGTCACCCAAGCTGGTCTAAAACTCCTGGACTCAAGCAATCCTCTTGCCTTAGCCTCCCAAAATGCTGGGATTATAGGAGTGAGCCACAGCGCCGGGCTTGCCAAATCGTTTCTATCAGCTCTCTCACCATAGCTTCCCTGCTCAGTGGCCTATGGTATTTCCCATGGTCTGACACAGAAATTTCCTATTCTGCCTGATAAGACTGATCCAACCATATTTTTGACATCCCTCTACCACATACCCTGTGTTCTCACTGGGCAGAGAACATCAATATGTGCGAGAAGCCATACAAATATAATTTGTTGTTTTTAAGTTAAAGAAATGGCATGTTCTCAAATTTATTTATTTTATTTTGAGACAGAGTCTTGCTCTGTTGCCAGGCTGGAGTGCAATTGTGCGATCTTGGCTCACTGCAACCTCCGCCTCCCAGGTTTAAGCCATTCTCCTGCCTCAGCCTCCCGAGTAGCTGGGACTATAGGCGCACACCATCACACCCAGCTAATTTTTGTATTTTTAGTAGAGATGGGGTTTCACAGTGTTGGCCAGGATGGTTTCAATCTCTTGACCTTGTGATCCACCCACCTCAGCCTCCCAAAGGGCCTGGATTACAGGCATGAGCCACCGTGCCCAGCCTATTTTTTATTTATTTATTTTCAGACAGAGTCTTTCTCTGTTGCCCAGGCTGGAGTGCAATGGCGTGATCTTGGCTCACTGCAACTTCTGCCTCCTGGGTTCAAGCCATTCTCCTGCCTCAACCTCCTGAGTGGCTGGGATTACGGACACCCACCATTATGCCTGGCTAATTTTTGTATTTTTGTAGAGACGAGGTTTCACCATGTTGGCCAGGCTGGTCTTGAATTCCTAAGCTCAGGTCATCCACCCACCTTCGACTCCCAAAGTGCTGGGATTACCGGCATGAGCCACCAAGCCTGGCCCATATTCTCAATTTAAATAAAACATATAGTAGTAGTAGAAAGTAAAACTGCAAAGTGAGTCTCACCTTTGTCCCTGCAGCCTTCTCCAGTAACCTCTCTCCTATGAGTTTCCTGGACTGAACTATCCCACATGGGTCCACTAGCCATGCTCAGCTGACTCTTGGCATGGTCCCCTTCCTACAGTGACTGAAAGCCGCACCCCCTCTTACACCTCTGTTGTGTGCCCCTCAGAACAGAATGCTGCATGGACCTCTGATTGACAGGTATTTATCAAACACTTTCTCCAACTAAACTTGCCCCCTTTCCTGACCTGGTTCCATCCATCTAGCTCAGGGGCAGAGCTTGGGGACTGCATGATACCCCCAGCTCCATGTCAGAGGGTGTGCGCGGAGCCCAAGCTCCCCTGCGAGGGGCAAAGGACACAGAAGCAGGCATGCAGAGAATGAGGGAAAGAGGAGGGAGTGGGGAGGGAACAGGACATGTGTGTACATCTCAGCTGTGGACACAAGATCCTGGGAAAAGGCCCAGTGAAAATTTCTGGAGTATAAGTTGGGAGGCTTCAAGATAGCATGAGTTCCTACCCAGGCCCTAGTCCCAGGATCCTTTCTGCTCCCAAAGCATCTACATTATGCATTGGGTCCTGTGGGTAGCCCCAGCCACCTCTCCTCTACCTTGGCCAAGCAGCCACTCCCAGCAGAGCTCCTGATGGGTCCCAGGTCCCTCCTCTTGCCCCAGTCCCACGGGAAAAGCTCCCTCACCCAGTGGGAACAAGCCGTGATCCACAATGGCCCTTTTCTTTTTCTGAGGAGCCTATGCGTCAAGAAAGCTCGAGACTCTTGCACTCAGTGGGATCTGAAAGTGTTGTAGAGAGAAGGAAAAAGACCAAAAGGAGAGTGGTTTCAGGTTCCAAGCCCCATACCCTGCCTGAATCACTCAGGCAAACTTGGCTTTCATTTGATTAAAAAGGTCTGTGCTTTTAAAAGAAAAAAAAAAAAAAAAGATAACCAAATGACCTAAAAAACCCAGAGTCAGGCCCTGGAGATGAAGCATTCGTGTGGAAGTCAGGTTCCGGATTCAGCTCTGCTATAAACTATGACTTGGATCACTTCCCCTGAGTCATTCCCATCCAGCTAGGGCCAGGAAAAATACCTCCCTACTTCCCTCTCAGGCCAGCGGAACCTGCTGTTCTGTGCACAAAGGCATCTGGTTTAAAGCAGACTAGCAAAGATAGGAAGATTCCCTGGGAAAAGGGGAATCAGGTGCCAAGAATTCCCATAGTGACTGTGGGGAGAGAAAGGCCAATCTGTTCAGAGGCTGGAGACACTTACCTTGACACCACCATCTGACTTCTTGTTCAATAGGCTTTTGGCAGCTGTGAAAACAAAGAGGAAAATCAAGTCTCCTGCATTGTACCCTCTCCCCAGCCTGAAGTCCAGCAGCCAGATCCACAAGAGAGTGCTGTGTTTGACAAGGGGGCCAAGGGTCTCCAAAACCCCCAAAAGAGGCACTTCCCAGTAGCCGCTTGGCAATAAGGGCATCTCGAGTGGCGTCAGAGCCCTCAGGGTGGCACCTCAGGATCTCCTCTGCATGGAAGAGGGCATGGACGCACAGCACTTAGAGGAGAAACCAGGCTCAGTACTGGAGCTGCCTGGGGCACTGGCACTGGGGACTCTGCCTTTGACAGCTTCGACCCAGGCCTGGAAGCAGAATGCCAGGGTGAAGGGATGAGGGCTCCATCCCTAGGTGCCATGGAAGTTCTCCGGATGGCCAAACTGCAAGGATGCAAGACATCTCCTGAGTGTTCTCAAGAAGCAGAGTGTCACAGTTCACACAGGAGACCAGAGGACAGACAGACAGTCACAGACACAGAAACCAGGACCACCTACAGGAGGGTTTTGCCAGGAGGTTGAAGCCTTCACTGGGCAGGTCCTCACCAGGTTCACTGGATCCTAGCTGCCACCCTTTCCCCAGTGTCCATTCTCTGGACCTGTGAGCAGGAAGGACTGGGCAGAATAATGAGCTATCAAACAGATTCTAGCCAGGCATGGAGTGACGCTCCAGGCTGATGAGCTCTGTGCCAGAAGGCTGGTGACATCAGCTGGTCACAAAGGTCACAGGAAAGCAGCAGACAGTGGGGAGGAGAGTCTGGGAGGCACAGGGAGAGGGAATCAGCTAAACTGCCGGATCCACCTGGCCTGCCTACCCTGGGTTTGTATCTTGGTTCCACCGCTTGCCAGCTGTGTGACCTTTGGTGAGTTACTTAACCTCTCTGGGCCTCAATTTATCTATAAAATGGGATAAAGTAGGGCCTACATCACAAGAGTGGTGGGGATCCAGTGAGATTATGCATGAAAAGCACTTAGCAGGGTGCCTGGCAAAGAGTATAGCAAGTACTCAGCGTCTACCATTGTTGTCACTACTGCTGCCACCCTCCTGCCCTTTGGGTAGCCATTCCTCCCCAAGCTGTGTCCCATCTCTCTCCAGTGAGAATAGGGGTCATTCCATTACAAGAATTCTGACTCCAGAAAAAGGCCTTTGATCTTATCTTGTGGTGCTGGGTTTGAAAGTTGCTTTTTAAATGTGTTGACTCCTGTGCCTGACCTCCTACTGGCTGAGTGCTTTCCGTTTACCAGCCAGCTCTTAACACGGGGTGCCCATTAGGATCGCCTGGGAGCTTAAAAAAAGTGTATACCTACCCCATCCCCAAAGGTCTGATTTTATCGTCTGGGGTGGGGTCCTGGCATTAGGATTTCCTGCGAGCTCCCAGGTAATACCTGTACTGTACAGGCAGGGCTGAGAGCCTTTGACAGGGTGATCTTAAACACCACCATGTTATTTATCATCCCCATTGGAGAGGTGAGGACACTAAGGATGGGAGAGCTGGGGTGACTCGCTCACGGTGTGGCAGGGCTAGGATCCAAACTCAGGAACAACTGGCTCTGAGGCTTCTGCACTCTGGGGCCTTTCAGACCTGGAGGCCTGCAAGTGCCAGACTTCACAGTTTTGAGGGGCGCAGCTCCTCTGTGGGATCTGAAACAGCGCTAGTCCTAGCACTGGGCAGCTCAGGGCAATGCCCAGCACTGTCTCTGAGGGGCCACTGTCGGCTGCAGCCCTCCCAGGGCATCAGCCTCTCGGCAAGGCTCCCACTGCCCGGCTCCACGCCCCCAGGCTATTGCCTCCTGAGAGTTGGCAAGCGCCCAGCATGCATGGCTGGTTAGGGGGCTCCATAACAACGATGCGCTCACAGATGCCAAGTTAGGTAGTCTGTCCGGCATGCCCATCTCAGCCCGCAAGCATGGGACTCGCCTCCCTGGTGAGTGGGCCTGGCATGCTGGCCCTCCTGGTGGGGTGGCAGGGGGCCGAGGCAGGCGGTCGGGGAGGACTCATGCCACGTACCTTGCCCGGCCAGGCCGGCGGCGCTCGCGGCAGGCGAGGCGGGGGCGGAGCTCTGCCTGCCAACTGAGGGGATACAGTCTCTCAGTGCACAGAGCCCCGCAAAGCCACGGGGCCGACAGCAGCGAGCATGCCCCAGCGCGAGGCGCAGCCCAGGCGGCGTGGCCAAGCCAGCCGAGCTGGGGGAGCGGAGCGCCGGGGGCAGGCCGAGGAGGCAGGCGCAGCCAGCCCTGCAGCAGTCTGGGGGCCTGGGAGGACTGTGCTGGGCCAGGGCATAGGGAACACCACATCTCCACCAGATGGAGAAGGCTGCAGTGCCTGTCCCATGACCCCCTTTGGGGAGGGTCCGGGGCGAAGTGCCTTGCTCTTCTGGGGTAGCCCGGCCCTAGCTTAAGGCTGTGAGGAAACACCTTCCCTTCTGGTCCTTCCTTCCCTAGAAGCTAAATGAGCCCACGGTGAGAGAGCCAGGGGCGCAGAGCAGCTCTCTCCCCTCTCCACATCCCACACACTAGAGGGACTGGCACGCAGGGCCCAGGGAGGGTTTGTGGCCCTTGTGCAGCTAAGTTTACTGACGGGCCCCAGCTCCATGGCCCCCAGCGCCTCAGAGACACAGGTCCCTGTCTTAAGGGAGGTAGCTGGGAGAGGCAGCGTTCTCAGCCTATGTGTCACAGTGTGCTGAGGGGAAAAGAAGCCCCAAGAAAGAAAACAAAGGCTGCTGAAGCCATACACTCTGGAGGCCCCAATTCACTGTTGGCCAAATTGTTGAAGTCCAGGCTGAGCCACAACCCCTATTTGGGGTCAACTCAAAAAACAGCCCTAGGGAAACACACAGGTGCCTCCTCCTTCTTGACTACATCCATAGACACCTCTTTCTGCAGAAGCTTCCGGACAGATTCTGTCCTCACCTGTCCCAGAATCAGGGCAGAAGAGGCCATCCTGGAATGCTCACAGCATTGTCTGCCTCCTCTGACCCAAGGCAAAGTGAGCTCAAAGGCCAGTCGAGGTCTGGCCAGTAACAGAAGGCTCTATAGGGATGAATAAAATGCTTTGTCCTAATGCCTGACTTCCTGAAACCAGGATGCCAATTTCCCGAAATGGAGGGGGAGGTTGACGCAGAGGCCGGGGGCCACAAGACAGGACCCTTGCTATTGACTGGCCGGGCTGAAAGAGAAGCAGCAGCCTGTCTTCACATTTCTTCAACTCAGAGCGGGAAGACGACAGAGCTTTGCTCTAGGGGCAGCATAGAAATGCCCTTCAGTGTCCTCTGGAAAGGCTTGTAGACCCAGAAAGTAGAAGCTGCATCATTAGAGGACAAGAAGCACGGCGTGGGACTACAGTTCCAATGCCACCAGAGGCAACTAGCCATGCTTCCCTGTTTCCATCTGCGAGAGGTGGGTCCGGAACACAGTCTACCTGTGGTGGGTACCCACAACACAAGAGCAAGCCCCAAAGCAGGGTCAGAGGAGAAGGACTGAGGCAGGGCACTGCCCACCCTGGGCTCACTATCCGGCCCTCCGTGGCTCTCAGGCTACACCATGAAGCCCTAGACCTCCCTGCCTGCAGCATCCTCACAGCCAAGGCCCTCGGGTTACCTGAAGCGAGCGCAAGGGAGCACGTCAGGACGGGCGCTTGGAAGCAGCTCCCACCAAGTGGTGGCTTGGTTTCCCGCACAACCCCATTTCCATAATGCTGCCAAGGGGAAGCAGGGGAGGGAGTCTTGTTATGGGAAGAAGGGGGGTCTTGAACCAAAACAGTGAGGTGAAGGGTTAGAGGGAGGGAGGATTGGGAGAGACGGCAAGCTGGGCAGAGCCCTCTCTGTCTTCAGTCTTGACATTAATCTTTTCCTCACAAAAAAGCCACTGTGCTTCCCAATTGAAGGCAAACAATAATAGGGGCTGGGGTGAGGATGGGGGCAATGGGAGAGTGGAGTGTCTTGCATCTTAAAAAGAAACGTCAAGTGTGATTTACAAATTACTGGTCCCACCTCTCCCAATTCTTTATGCAAATTTAAGCAAGTTCCTTTCCCTCTCCTGCTGGTCTTTATTTCTTTACTTTTATAGCTAGTGTCATACGGAATATTTTAAGCACAAGTCGCTGCAAAAGGTTTAAACATCTGGAATAATTTCTATTAGTCATCTCCACTTGGACAAAATGAAGAGATCATCCCAGCAGGCAAGTGAATGGCGGCAATTTGGCAACTGAGAAGACTCGCTGTCCCTCACCTCTCTTTTATTCCCCCAGCACATTCTCCAAGACCCTAGACTGGCTAAAATCTTTAAAGTGCTGAGAGTCTTCAGAGAGTTAAATAAGAATCCAGAGAAACAAGGTACACAGCAAGCTGGGCATGGTACTCCCTGGGGGATTCTAGAAGACAGAATTCACAAATGTGAGCCCAGCCCCCTGAATCTCAGGAGCAGGACTCAGCAGCAGCAGCAGCCCCTCAAAACAGGATCCTCGCTCGATCTGGTCAAGGTGTGGCCCAGGACACCCAGCAGTGCCCAGGATGGCAACAGTCCACTCCCGACCCACTCACCTCAGCATAATCAAAGTACACAGCCAGGAAAACATACCTGAGAAGTTCCTGGAGACAAGCATAGTCGTGAGGATGGCACCCTGGGGAAAGAGGAAGGTCCTGTGAATTCACTGGGACCCCAGAAAAGGGCAGGCTGGTCTCAGGCAAAGGCAGGTCCTGGCTAGAGTTGGAGGACATCAGGTCTCTGGGTCCTCCCACCATGCCCCCGAGATACCGAGATATGTACAATCTTCAGAGCCCAGCTCCAGCCAGGAGGGGAGCTTTCTTCTATGATGGGGCAGGAACCACATTGGTGCAAGGCATGATGTCAAGGAGGCTAGCAGCACAGAAGCGACACTCACCTTCAGTTTTCTCCGGGCGTTGAACTTGCGCAAACACTCCACAGTCTCCTGACGATGCATCATGGATGCCACTGTGGATCGTTGCTATAAGCCAAACAGACAGGGCATGAGCCCCAGCCCAGATCCTCTGTACCTGCCACAGTCCCAGCACTGACACCATGCCCAGGACAGGGTCATGCACTCAGCTACCCCAGAGTTGCTCTGAAGATGAAATGAGGTCACACATGTGAAAACGCTTGTAGAATAAAAGACTACCCCAAACTCAAGGCTATGTAAGAACAACATGAATGTGAGAAAGCCATCACTGATGCTAGGTGGGGTTGCTGACAGCGTTCTGTTCTTCCTTAGGAAGCAGAGGCTACGGAACAGGAGAGTACCCTGGGGGCTGTGATCCTCATTCAGTCACTTCTTAGGCAACTATTTACTGAGTACCTACTGCGTTCCAGATGCTCAGCAGTGAGAGCAGGGTTCCTGCTCTCTGTAGAGGACATTCCTTCCTTCCAAGAGCCCCTCTCAACACACCCCCAGCAAAGTCCTGAATGAAGCCATGATCCCAGAAGCTAAGGATCATCACCTTGAAGCATCAATTCTTTTCATCATTTTGGATGGGATTGATTGATTGATTGATTGATTGTGATGGAGTCTCACACCTTGTTGTCCAAGCTGGAGTGCAGTGGCATGATCTCGGCTCACTGTAGCCTCCGCCTCCCAAGTTCTGCCTTGGCCTCCTGAGTACTGGGATTACAGGCACATCTCATCACGCCCAGCTAATTTTTGTATTTGCAGAGATGGAGTTGGCCATGTTGGCCAGGCAGGACTCAGACTCCTGACCTTAAGTGATCTTCTCACCTCAGCCTCCCATAGTGCTGGGATAACAGGTGTCAGTCACCACACCCAACCTTTTTTTGACGGAAATTTGTCTTGAATATATTTACTGCTAACTTCCGGGACTCCTTAAACAGAGTCCAAGGGATACAGTCTACATTTTCTTGATGACTCAGGTGTCCATACAAGCATCAATTGTTATGTCATTTCAGAATACAGTGATGTCCTTAGGGACTCGAGATACACAGGACTGCAGAGGGTAGGGCCTGCAAAAATGACCCCAGAACAGAATATTTCCCCCATTCTTGGGTGCCCATTTCAGGTTGCTCACCCTCTCCCCTTGCTGTTGCTGTCTTCATCAGCCTGATAGAAAAACCAATCCTGGCACCTGCAGCCCGGTGCCCCCAACCCCACAGGGCCTGCTGGTGATCCTTTCCCTTACTCTTTCCAGGTCTGGAAACAACTCTCCCCACCTTCTCTACCTTCCCCAAGTCTCTAATTTCACCTCCTCCTCAGTGTTAATTTCTCCAAAAGCAAAATTAGAGGTCATTAGCAAGAACCCCTTTTGCTCAGACTCCTACCCAGGAGCCAATTTTCACCTGCCACCACCCTAACAGAAGTCTCAGGGGGATCAGGCCTCATGCCTGGGATGGACCTCTTGCCCTGGGCTCAGGAGCCCCTCTCGCTGCTATCCAAACCTTTGCTTCCTCAATTAGCCAATATCTTCAACTCCTTCCTCTGAACTAGATTCTTCTTTATACATTATAGTTCAGCCTCTCCTTAAACAAACAAAAAAAAATTTTTTTGAGACAGCATCTCACTCTGTTGCCCAGGCTAGAGTGCAGTGGCACAATCATGGCTCACTGCAACCTCCACCTCACTAGGCTCAGGTGATACTCTCATCTCAGCCTCCCAAGTAGCTAAGGCACATGCTACCACACCAAGCTAATTAAAAAAATTTTTTTGTAGAGATGGGATTTTGCCATGTTGCCCAGACTGGTCTCAAACTCCTGGGCTCAAGTGATCTACCTGCCTTGGCTTCCCAAAGTGCTGGGACTACAGGTATGAGCCACCGCTCCTAGCCAACATAATCTTTAAAAAGAAAATTTCTTTTTTTAGAGGCAGAGTCTCCCTCTGTTGCCCAGGCTGGAGTGAAGTGTCATGATCTCGGCTCACTGCAACCTCTACCTCCTGGGTTCCAGTGATTCTTATGCCTCAGCCTCCCAAGTAGCTGGGATTAAAGGTGTGCACCAACATACCCAGGTA